TAAGATGTTGATACTCCTGAGAGTATTCTAATGGGACTCCATGCCTAGCATAATGCCTTTTCCAAAGGAATCCATTTCTAATGGTGGAATTTTGGCCCTAGAGCAGCTCCATAGAGGAGAAATTGTTTTGAGCAATTATGTCTTTCCAAGGTTGCTCAGGTTCTTCCTATTTCACTTATAAACAAGGCTGGTCATAGGTACGGGGACAATATTCTTTGGGAATTTTAATGCATGCTTCCTATGATTCATATCGAAGATGGAGTTTTCCATGGGAGTGGCACCTCAAAGAACTCGTTGTTCAAGATCCAAATATAATGAAAGAATCTTCCTGTTACTCACTGTGGGTATTTGTGGTGTAAATTTTGGGGACTTTGTGCTTTTGTGCTGAGCTGACTGTTTTCCTGATGACCTTGTAGGGTAAAGGCTCATCTTAGGAGTGAATGTGGCCTTCCCTGATGGGTAGATACGTCATCCCTGGGAAGAAGCAGGTCCTCAGACAGGAAACCAGAGTCTGGAGATGCTGGACTTCTCCCTCTCTCTGGGCCTCCCTTTTGTGAGTCAGTACTTCAAGGAGTTTGAGAGAACGTCAGGAGCTGTTTGCTTCTACTCCATCGAGTTGGTTTTCCTACTCAGCTGAGACTCTTCAGTGAGGGCTGTTTCGAATCTCTTTTGTGTTTTCTGAGGAACTCTCTCCCTTAGTCCTGGGAATGCTCAAACAGAAATTACAACCCAGCCTGGGAAAAGAGGGGTTGACGGGGGTGTGGGATAGCCATCCAAGGGTGTTGAGCCCAGGGACTGTAATATGAACTTGCTTTATCTGGTGCTATTTCAGGAGATATTTAGCCCCTCCCACTTCTTTCATCATCATAAATGACTTTCTCCGAACACCCAGAAGCCTCACTGTTGCGGTGGCCCCAGTCCATCTTTAGGGTACGGCGTAGGCACTACTGATTGGCCATGAGTTTTCACAAGATGGCGGCTTATTGTATATAAGTTTCTAACCTCAGGAACCACCTATCCAGTAGTCTCAGATTCCAGAGTCTCTTCTTAGACCTCTGGGAGAGACTTCTCAGGCCTGGAACTGATCATTTTCTACTTTAATCTCTGTTCTTGGACTGTTTTGAGTTGGAATCCTACTAAGATAGAGCGTATCCTTTTGTTTGCGCATAATCTCCTTCCTCCCAAGGATGCCCCTCTTCCTAAAAACATCTCATCAGTCCTTCGATGTCCCATTCGGGTCCTCCTCTTCCATGAAGCCACCCTAGATCTTTCTCTCCCCAGAACTCAAAATGCTTTTACCCCAGGGATCTTTTGACAATGAATCACGCAAATGCCTTATGACTTACTTCAATAATCATTTATGGTGAGGGTAATACCCACTTCATTTACTCAGCCTTGCTAATTTTGATGCAGGGCGGACATGTCCATCTGCGTGATTAGTCTCTGGAATATTAACTTTATCTGCATAGTGACTTTGATTTGGACAGATGTTTTAATCTATCACCCATGTCAATATGCTTTCCATGAAAGAAATCTGGCTTGACCTTCAAAGGATGAGGATGACAGACCTCTCTTGAAATCCAATGGAAGCGAAACTTTATCTGGTGCTATTACTATTATACTTAGCCCCTCCCACTTCTTTCATCATCATAAATGACTTTCCCCGAACACCCAGAAGCCTCACTGTTGCGGTGGCCCCAGTCCATCTTTAGGGTACGGCGTAGGCACTACTGATTGGCCATGAGTTTTCACAAGATGGCGGCTTATTGTATATAAGTTTCTAACCTCAGGAACCACCTATCCAGTAGTCTCAGATTCCAGAGTCTCTTCTTAGACCTCTGGGAGAGACTTCTCAGGCCTGGAACTGATCATTTTCTACTTTAATCCCTGTTCCTGGACTGTTTTGAGTTGGAATCCTACTAAGATAGAGCGTATCCTTTTGTTTGCGCAGAATCTCCTTCCTCCCAAGAATGCCCCTCTTCCTAAAAACATCTCACCAGTCCTTCGATGTCCCATTTGGGTCCTCCTCTTCCATGAAGCCACCCTAGATCTTTCTCTCCCCAGAACTCAAAATGCTTTTACCCCAGGGATCTTTTGACAATGAATCACGCAAATGCCTTATGACTTACTTCACAATAATCATATGGTGAGGATAATACCCACTTCATTTACTCAGCCTTGCTAATTTTGATGCAGGGCGGACATGTCCATCTGCGTGATTAGTCTCTGGAATATTAACTTTATCTGCATAGTGACTTTGATTTGGACAGATGTTTTAATCTGTCAATATGCTTTCCATGAAGGAAATCTGGCTTGACCTTCAAAGGATGAAGATGACAGACCTCTCTTGAAATCCAATGGAAGCGAATTCACTATCGGATTTTTAAAGTAAAAATGGAAGATAATTAAATGCAGTGTAGTTGTAAAACAGATTTCATTATGTTCTACATCACTTCATAAAATAAGCATAGTTCCCATTCTTCCATCTGGCTATCTTTGTACATTTTAAAACAATAATGACCCCCTGATAACTCAAGAAATGGTTAGGCCTACTTCTTAAGCACTTGCTCTAAGGTGAAAATTAAACATTCTTGGGTGGAAGGCTGGGTGGATGAAATGGTATGTCATCAAAATAAAGCATGTGACATTCCCAATATCATCAGGGGAAACAAACGTGTCAATAAATCTGCCAGAGACCATCTTTTTCTTTAGAAAATAAATGTAATGCTTAGCCATCAGTAAGTTAAAGTGTGTGAATATAGTTTTGAGTATTGTGACATCCTTGAGTCCCATACAATCAAATAAACCAGAAGTCTACTCACCTGAGTCAATGGTAGCTTATCATTTGGCATCTGGATTTTCTATTTTGTTGGATCTGACCCCAAGGTATGGGTGAAGACACAGGGCAGCACTCAATAACCCTATTTACATGGCGTATTAACTTATCTAAGAAAAAAATAATAGTCAATCATTTATTAGTCTGGTGGACTAATTCTAAAGTCTGAGAAGTGTTTTATTAGAACTACTAAATTTGAGACTGGACTGGTAACAAATTTCCAAAGGAGAAACTCTTATTGGAGAGAAACCATCATGTTTATTCATTCTATTATTTATATATTTCACAATGATATTCAGTCTCACCAGGTCCCATATTAGGAGGATCAGAATCATGACCTAATGCATAATTTTCTTTTGTCTGTTTTAAAATAATCATCAAGCTAATTCATAGACTCATGGACTTCCTCCAGTCCATGACTTCAAGTGTTTTGTGGGGAGACGAGAAAAAATGGTGAATTTCAATGACATAAAAAAGGAATAGACTGTGATTCAGGAGACCTGGATTCCCCTTTCTGTTCAAGCAGGTCAGTATTTTGTGTTGACAGTAACTTTAACTCAGTTAATTGTGATAATGACTTTATATTTGTGAAGGGCAAAATATTCTGATGTTTTAAAATTTTTAAACAGTTAATTTTAGGTAGAAATAATATATTTTGTCCTTTGTAAGGTCTCACTGCCCAGGGAAAAGATCACCATAAGAACCTTGCCTACTACAACACAAAGGGTCTCTACTTACATAAATTACATGGTCCCTTTTCTGGTTGTGGGGTCACAGGTGGCTCGCCATTGCAAAAAAAAAAAAAAAAAAAAGTAAGTATCTTGATAAATTAGGTTAAAAATGGGAGAAGGTTCACAGGCTAAGAACATCAGTTCAGCTTTCAGCAGGTGCCATTCTGCAGGAGAAAGCCACCACCGGCTCTGCACCTGCTCCCTGGAGGAACCTGGTATTAGAAGGGCTACCACAGAACTGACTTGGCAAAATAGTTCAGAAGCCGGAGGCGGCTTTGTTTCCTAACAGGGGCATGTTTATTGCCATCTCAACCATACCTAACCTACTAAGAGACTACGCGAAAGGGCTCAGAGGAGCCCTACTTAATGGCTATTTACCTGCAAGGATGCATTATCACCTAGATTCTATGGAACGAACCCAATACTGGCAGAGCTGTTCTCCATGTCACAAGAGGGAGCAGAGGAAATGCACAGACATTCCTCATCATTTCACCTAATAGTTTGCTCTCTTCCTTGAGGTCACATTGCAGACAAAAGTAAAATGAGAAAATGAATATGATCAATCATAATTAAGATGGGGGAATATGTTGAAAATATCTGGCTAACAATTATGAGGTATATCAGACTCTTCCCCATACAAGAGATTTAGATGAGGCTGGGAAGTCTCTTTTTGGAACTGCGAAATGTGAGTGGGGTGTGGTCGACAGAAAAAGAACACTGGAAAATCGTGGGAGAGAAAGAGAACTGGGAAATTAAGGCAGGCCCTCAAAGCTCTAAGGGAATTTGTTTCCTCTTCTATACTAGTTGTCCTGACTGGGTTTCATCTGCAGTTCAAAGCTTACTTCAGATGATCAGATGAGGGAATCATTGAAGTATTTGAGAGAGGAAGTTATTTCAAGGAGAAATGAAAGTTAATGTATGCATGTGTTTGTCTCTGATGGAGAAGGGGTAGTTGACAATGGGACAGGAATCAGTATGTACATTTCCTGTTCCTCTTTCCTTAACCGAACCCTCAGAGCACCTCTGGCTCCCTAGGGGAGGAAGTATGCTCTGCTGTCCTCTTTTTCACCTCTTTAATCTTGTCTACATGGCATCTGCCCCATGGAACATCTGTCCTATGGGGATAGCATTGGGGTTGCAAGAATTTGTTGGAAAGTGTGTTAAAGTAAGGGAGGAGAGTCACAGAAATGAGTGTTGAGAGGTTGGCTTTGTTTGGTATTGCCTTCAAGAAAGAATTCTGATCTCACATGTTCATCTTTCCTAAAATTGAGGGGACCTTTTTCTGGGATCTCAAACCTTTGGGAAATAAAAAATTAGAGGGCACGGAAATCACCTCTTACCTTATTTTAAAGGCTCATTTTAGAGAAGCAATTTTTCTAACCCTGACCTATAATATTCTTTTATGTTTTCGTTTCTTATTGTAAACAAGCAAGTTCATTTTAACATTTACTCTTTATTGTGTTGCATGAAGTACCTATGTAATGCAAGTATGTACTGTACTAAAATACCCATATTTTCAAAGAACATTATGTGGTGTAGCCCACAGTCTCTGCAGAAGCATCGTGAATAACCTGTGCCTTTACGCTTTACAATCCATTGTTGGCTGCTATGAAAAGTATTAACAGATGAAGAAAAAAGAAAATAAAGCTAAAGTATGAATACACTTTTCCAAACATACACATACACAGCTTATAATGGAAAAAAGTCAAATGACAACATTCGATGTAATATCTATAAAATGTAGACTCTGCAATAAAAAGCCAAAGGCACATAAAAATATATTTTAACTTTAAAAATAACTTAGTTACAGTAATACTTTGCTTGTATCTTACCAACATGTAGCTGACAGTCAAAATTTCGTAATATTGATGTAATATATAGGGATATATGAGAGCTACAAGAAAATCCCCCAAACCCATAAAGTCGTTCAAATGTGAAAACAGAGAAAAGCTTTAACACTGAAGAATTTGGTTTGGTGAACCCAAACAATATAGAAAAGAGTTTAGAAAAAAAGGCTTAGGTGTTAAATAAATTTGACTTCTTGCTCAGAAAATGCCGGAGTATTATAAAGTTCCTCAATGTGACTCTGCAGCCCTTCGTAGCTAGTGCCCATCCTGGCCAAGCCAGATTTCTTATATGCCTACAAACAAAAAAATGTGAGCTGAACATCAGCCATGCTTGCTGAAAATGGGTTCTAACTGACTCACTTCCTCTGGTTGCCAGGACAGTTTTGTTTTTGTTTTTTGTTTTTTTAACTGTTTTTGCAAACAGGGCATAACAGGTAAAAAAATATTTTGTAGGAACATTATTTTAGAAAACCCATCACACAACTGCAGATATAGCCAGTGAAGCTCTTCTCTTTGACTGTGGTTCATTTATTCTGTTGCTGTTAATAACTTTTACCCCAAAGGAACGTTGCTGGAGGCGTCTTGTTACTTGTTTTTATCCATGACATTCAACACCTCATCCAGAAATGAAGGCCCGAGATCAAGCTGCAAGGAGAGTAGGGAGCCCGTGAGATCAGAGAGGGACTCCTCTGATTTAGTCTTTCCCTTGACAAGCTCGCACGGGGCGGGATGTTCAAACATGTCCTCAGCTGGCCAGTCGGGATACTGTTCGGAGAGGCTGGAGGAGTGGCTGTCCCTGCCCTGGCTGGACTGAGACGCAGACCCGCTGGAGCCCCATGAGACATCACCCTGATGGACCATCCCATTCTCCAACAGGCTGCGTTTCTCCGGAGGCTTTTCTTCCATGACAGGCTCACAGCTAAGCCTGGGCAGTTTTGCTGGCCCAAAGGATTCCTGTTTGGAATTAAATGTCACCGGTGACAATAAAGGTAACATGAGTGCTTGGGACCCTCCGATGGTTGGGAGGGAGATGGCATTTTTGAGCACAGGGGAGGGCGTTTCTATGAACATAGAGTCAGAGGTGCTATTGGCCCGAAAGAACTCGTTATGCCCAGGGAGCTGACCCAGGTGTGCTTTCTCCTGGTTTCCAGGTAAAAGCTCGTAGTTCCCTTGAAGAAAGGAAATATCTCCAAAGACGTCATGCTGGCCCTCTTTGCCAATGTGAATGGTGTGGCGGAAGTCTCCAAGGGGAGGACTGATCATATCAGGAGACAAAATGTCCCGCAATTTAAATTTCTTTCCTTTCTTGTTATTGGCAGCTTTCAGGTACATTGGGGTCTTGGCTGGCATTTTGGAATTTGAGAATGTCTCTTTTGCAAAAGGGAAAAAGGGCCACTTTTGTCAGAGAAGTTATACGTTTCTGATGATCCTTTTTGATAGGAACTGTCACACCATTTTTCTCAAGCAGCTTCAAAAGTGGGTTTGATGTGAGAGGGAGGTCAGGGAGACCTTCCTGAAGTTACAGCCAAGTGGGGTTTCTGGAGAGCTGGTTACAACAGCCAGTCCCTTCCACAATATGAAGAAACCTGAAAAAGAAACCAAAGCCGGTTATAATTAGCTGAACCTTCAGGGCGCACTCAGGCCCGCCTTTTTCACAAGAGCCTGGAAATAATGGCAGGACCGGTCCCCATTTGAAGCCAAGCTTTATTCTGTTGTTTCCTTCAATTAAGTAGGATAAAAACTTTAATCTTAACAAAGGTCCAATAATCTTAGTCCTACTTCAGGGGAAAAAAGGAAAACATAAAGAAGAGAAAGAGAGCAATTAAAAAACCCCAAACCTATGACATCAGCACTTTTTAAACATGGCCTTGGCCACAATTTTCTGGACATGTCTAAGATTTTAGTCGTTTTCCTCTATTTTGAGAACTGCAGTTAGTACATGACCAGAGTGATTTCAGCTCCTCACAAAGAACTGGATTTGTTTTACAATATATTTTTTTCTCTTTGGCATTCACACTAGCAAGACTAATAATACTGTGTTGTTGAGTTTTGTAAATAAATACAATTAATGTAATGAAATGAATAGTCCTATAAGGGAAGAGGCAGGATATTGTCATTTACTAAGTGAGAGCGACTATTATATGCTGGTGTCCAACAAAATCTTAGTGAAATGTATTCTTACAGATGGGAAAACTGAGATTCAGTAGTCAAAAAGGCAGTAACAACAATAAAAAACCCCACCCTTTCTCAATAACATACAGCCAGTAAATCAAAGAGTTGGAGCTAAAATCAAGTTGTGGCAGAGAGAACTGGGCTGTCCAGGATGTCAGGATTTGGAGGCATTCTGAGATGGAAGGAAAAGAACAAATCTGCTTCAGAGAAAAATGTATGATTGTACGGAAAAGTTGGTTCTTCGTGTGGGAATACTTTTGAAACACTTACTGATAAGCTTGTGTTCTCTCCCTGTGGTACACAGAATTCTAAGACAACCCCGAAGATCGGACTCCTGATGTTAAGGCCTTTGTGGATGGAACCTGTGACTTACTTCTACCCGACAGAATATGGCAAAACTGAGGGGATGGTGAACCTTGTTTAGGTTACATTATATAAATTTCCATCTCAGAAGCCTGGAGGGAGACTTCCTTTACTGATTTTGAACAAATGAGCTGCCATGCTCAAAGGGTCTATGGAGATGAAGTTGGCCAACAACCCGAGGGAACCTGGAAGTGGATCTTTCTCTAGTTGAGCCTCTGATGAGCCTACAGTTCTGACATCTGGTTCAAAGTCCAATGAAGACATGGAGCTAAGCCCTACCTGCTTCCTGACCTGCAGACACTTTGAGACTTTAAATGGGTATTGTTTGTAAGACATTAAGTTGGTGGGAATTTGTTACTCATACAGCCTCCCTTTACTGGCTATATGTCACGCTTAGAAGTGATGAGCTACAAGAAGGTTTGGGGGTTCTCATTTTACAGATGAGAAACTCTGTCTTGAAAATAACCTTCCAACTCTTCAGTCACATCAGCTGACATCGAAAAGCTAGAACTCTCCCACCGTGGGAATTCCTGCAATGGCTCTGCTGCGACCTCTTTCTGGCCAAGCCTCCCTTTACCAGCTATATGTCACGCTTAGAAGTGATGAGCTACAAGAAGGTTTGGGGGTTCTCATTTTACAGATGAGAAACTCTGTCTTGAAAATAACCTTCCAACTCTTCAGCCACATCAGCTGACATCGAAAAGCTAGAACTCTCCCACCGTGGGAATTCCTGCAATGGCTCTGCTGCGACCTCTTTCTGGCCACAGAGCAAATAAATAAATATTCCGAGGGTGGGTTAGATGGTGGTTTGAAGAGAGCCACATTTGCTTTGTAGCAGCTGGAGGCTGGCTACACTTGCCCCATATTTCTTTCCTTTCAACAAGAGTTTTAAATTCATTTCCCTGTGGCAGGTGGTGAGAACCGTGTTCCAGCACCCACTGGCAAGGTGACAACTAGCTCTGTTGGAGAAGCCACTTACATCCAGGCCTGAGAAGGCAGGGAATGATGACCTGGAGAGACCTTCCCCCAGCACGGGGAGGAGGCCAAGGCAACATGAGGGGGTTTGTACCCAGAGTGGGCCAACCATGAAGTGCCAAATAGGACCCCCATGGTCACTATCTCTTGGTTTCTATTTAGTCCTGACCAAGAAACTGGCTCATCCTTGAAGTGCTGCCACTGTGGCCACAAGGAGAGGCCCTGTGATATCTGCTTTTCCACTTCAGATTAGAAATGCACAGAGACAGGGTTATTAGAAGAGATGCTTGATACAAAGGGAGAAGACGAGAAGCCTAAGCCTAATCATAGGAAGACATTCTCTCTCATAGTTTTAACTCTCATTTGAATCTTGTAGCAATAACAAAGTTTAAACCTTGGGTCTTCCTGCTTCAACATCAGAACTGCCTCCTCCTATTAAGTGCACAACAGGCGAGGGCTCCTGCCACCCAGGGGAGGCTGGTGTTTCCTTCCTGCCCCTGTGGGCACAGTGCGGTGACCGCCTGCACGAACAGCTGGGGCACCACCTGCAGAAGGCGGGGCGGCCCTGAGGACAGCTACCCTCTGGGATGGTGTCCTCACATACTTAGCCAGGAGGACAGCTTCTATGGAAAGATACAGTGTTTCTGCCACCACTGAAGGGCATGCAAGGGCTTCCCTGTGGTCAGCAAGTGAAGCCAGGCTTATGCAAGGCCAGAAACCGAGGCAGGCCATTTCACATTATTTAGAAAAATAAAATTCCACGAAGTTAACAGTCAAGAGTGCGGTTCCCTCTCCTCTGACTGGATCACTCATATTCGCCCATTATTGGAAGGACTCGGGGCACTGGGGAAGAGGAGTGAGGATGGAGAAGAAACGCTTACTGGACTTGAAGGCTCCAGGGAGGAATATCCAGTCCTCTCAGCTCCTGCCTGGCCGCAGCCACGGCCTCGGGCACTGCAGCCCCCTCACCAGAGGTTTGCTTGGCCTGGTAGAAGTTGGGTTTTAGGTCAGTGGCTTGGACACAAAGGTGGCAGGGAAGTAACAAAACATAGGGAAAAATAAAAAGTGAAAAAAGGGTTGGTGAGTGTGGACTCCCTAAGTTGCTGGCAGTGAGATTCTGGAGAGTGGGTGAGGAAAGACGACATCTTAAAAGGCATTTTTCTTTCTTTCTACAAATATTTATAAAGTATTTACTGTATGACAGGATGTAGGCTTCTAGGACTTAGGAAACAACAATTTGTATTGAACTTGTAGTACTATGTGCCAGTGCTAAGAGCTCCCAAATACACTGGACTTTTTTTTTAAAAAAAGGAATTTGGGGCAAAAATGTCAGTTGCACAAGTTTAAACGAGCTGAGGAACGTGATGTGATGATGTGATGCAGGAGAAATAACTGAGCGCCCTGACCCCATCCCTCGATCTTATCTGTCATCTTTTCCCTCCAGCTCAGGGCCAGCCATGCTTGACCCCAGGAGAGATAATCTAATACCGATGATTTCTTTCACTGACTGCTTCCTCCTCTCCTTTCTGAATATTCTGGGCTCCCTAGCTTATCTGCCAGTGGACATTCGCACCCTTTTTCCTTCCCAGGCTGACTGCTCTTCTGACATTTCCCTCCCATTGCTAATGCAGAAACCCAGTGGACAGTTTCTTCACTAGAACAGAGTGGCCAGTCCTGGAGAAGGTATGTGTGCATCTCCTGGAAATCACCAACCCAAATATGACAGTAAATATTTACTGAGAGCATTTCTATGTATTAGTCATGGTTCCAACCTTTGACACTCACTCACAAGAACCCATGAGGGTACTATTGTTAAAATCCCCATTTTAGAGATGAGGCACTGAGGCATTGAGTGCTTTGCCAAGGCCGCACAGCAACCAGGCACTAAGCCAGCTGGTGAGGCTCCGGAGTTTTGAGGTCTTGACACTCCCTGAGAATTCAGTCAGCTCCCAAATTATGAACAGGGGGAATTATCGAAAAGCCTGTTTAAGATAAGGCACTGGGCTGATGACGGTAGGGAACAGGTCTTGCATACACTGACTGTATAAGCAGGAACAGGTCTAACCTCAAAGTTAGGCGGTTTAGCAATGTCTATCAAAACTGCAGATCACATGCCTTTGGCCCTGGCATTCCACTTCCAGAGATTTTTCCCAACTTATGTATATTGGAAATCATATGTGTACAAGGTTGTCAATACAGCCCGGTTTATAATAGCCTGGAGCTGGAAACAACCTAATTGTTCTACCAATAGAAGACTGGTAATATAAATTAAGGTGAATCCATACAAAAGATTATTACTATTACGCTGGTCTAAACAAGGGTGAAGTAGCTCTTTACACGCAGGTATACAAAAAGCCTCAAGGCTATATGTATATATACGTGTCTTCAAAGACAAAAAGATGCAAAAGTGTGTAGATACATTTGTGTTGGCTTCTATGTCTATAAAACACCTCTGGAAGCAAACACAAGTTGACTGCCCTCAGGGAGAGGAAGTGAACGAGGGTGGAAGAGAAACGTGTCACTGTATGTCCTTTTACGGTTTTGGATTTCTGGACAAATTAAAAAGAAAAAGAAATAAATGGGTTGCTTAGGGCTTGGATTACTCTTTCTTGGAAGAGCCAGTTTTATACACATGGAACCTGAGTTACTGACACACGGACACTGGGGGAATGGCTGCAGCGGGGTGTCCACAGAGAGGGGAGCACGGGCAGGTGAAGGCCCTGGGGCCCAGGTTTACAGCTCCTTGTTTGAGAGCTGGCTAGCGACACAGAGAGGCAACATTTTACAGTGAGATGGTCCTAAATGCCAGAACGCAAAATCCTGTCTGTCTTCACCATTTTCCGAAAAGGTAATTTGGGCTCCAGGAGGTCACTGGCGGCTGACCAACATGGCAAAGCGAGAGACAAAGCAGAGTGGGAAAGCCTGAATCAAGGGGACACCCAAAAGCTTTGCTCTCTGCTCACAAGGAAGCAGGACATTCTTCTCATGGGGTGGTGGGGTGGGGTGAGGAGTGTGGGAGAAGAGGAAAGGAAGAGCTAAATGGAACGGATTACGGGCCAGAAGTGAATTATTAGAG